GGACTTACGATAATCACCACACGAAATTAAAATAATTAGCATGCACAGGTAGTTAAAGGGATATTCACAGAAATGACAGACTAAACCAGAAAATTCTTCCCTAAACTACACCTTTGTACTCTGGCTAAAATTAATGACAAAATCATCAAGGTTATGGCAGCACACACTAATAAACTAGCTACAGATCAGAAGGACTTGTGGGGCGATGAATGGTAAATAGTCCCTTTCTTCGAAAGATTGGAATAATCTGACAGTGACTCAATGTAATCAAGAATTTCAGGCCTATTCTTAGGATCAATGAGTTCGGCAAGACACTAACTATGAATTATAGTCTAAACATATGCAAGGAGCAGACATGACGTATACTTGAAATACACGAAAAACTAATGCTAAATTTGCAAAAGCCTACGAGTTCAATTTTTCCTTGTCATTTCTTTTGAAAGATCCCCAAATCTCATTTTATTGTGTAAAACACTTACGGTTTTTGACCGGGTCTCCCATTCTCTTTTCTGCAAGGTAAGAGGTCTAGCTATTTCAATTAATTTTTTCATTTTTTCAGATTTTTACTAGTCATTACCTCATTCTAATCTCGGTCTCACCAAGGAAACTTAGCAATTAAAGTTCATTTAAATAAGGGTGAATCCATGCGTACAATGCAATCCTCAAAAATATCAAATTCCTAAAAAATGATTGCTCTTACCCCATTTGGGGCATAAGAACAGTGCCAAAATCGACTCCTACCAAAACCCCCTAAACTTAACAAATTAATCCCCTAGTTCCCTAAACACCAAGACTTTGTCAGAATCATTCACGGGTAAGAAACAAGTCATTTGGCTATGGAGCTCAATTAATGGGTCAAGAACAAAACGACAGGCTCAAAGTGTCTTATCCTAAAGGACTTATGCAGGTGGGATAGAAAAAAAATTATGTATTTAACCGGTAACTAATGCCTTCATCCTGCAACAGCTTGAGTAAAACTGCAAGCAATTTAAGCTTACAAACCTCAAAAGCAAAGTCAAGACTCTAGCCAACTCACAAAGACACAGTTTAAAGAAAAATTTTGCAAAAAAATTGACATGAATTTACTATGAATATACAACTAAAACCTGCGAATGATAACAGAATTGACTCCCACACACTTAAACTTTGGTATCGCCTTCGATGATCAAACATGCACTATGCACAAGGGGGTAAAGGAGAATGGATCGCGTGTGCTCAACTCAACATCTTCAAACCGGCGAGAAGAAAAAAAAATCATTGAACCTTCTCTAGGACTGTTGGTTGGTGCAGAACTAAACCGAGTCATTGTTAACCGTGTTGGATCATCGCAATCAACACTTTGAGCTGCAAAATAGAGTATACACAAACAAAATCCAGAGTGAAAGTATATAGTACAGTCATTCAACAAAATGAAAAGAGATACATTGGCTAACGAAGAACAACTAATCATGCTAATCTACAGCTCTAACGGAGGTGGGGGCTGGTGCCCAGCAAAGAATGCACTCCAGCTAGACTCTTGAGAGGAAACACGCTCATCTAGCTGGGTGAAGTACGTCTGCTGGTCCTCTCTCATTTGTATCTGAAACTCCAGTTGGTCCTGTCTCATCTGGCCGTAGTGGTCATGCTGCTACGCCTGAGATAATTCATGATAAATATCCTCTTGGTGCCTATGCATGCCCTCCCAAGAGTGTCGGTAAGAATACTTATAGGGAGGAGGCACATAGGAGGCTCTGTGGCCAGTGTCGTGGTCCATGTGATGCTCGTCGTCGTGCTCCTCCTCATGGAGGCCTGCCTCGCCACCCTCAATAAACTGAATTGCCTCATGCTCGGCAACCCCCGCACTCTAGCTCCGACTCCTGTTTTTGTCTCTGGGAGCTTCGTCAACGGGAGAAACTTGAGAATCCCCTGCATTCCTCTGAAATGATTTCCTTATTCCATGCCTACTAAAATGCGTGTGATGTAGGGACCGGAGAAAAGGGCCTTGATGCGGTTCGTGGATTGGCGGTGAAAGAGGCTTGCAACAATAGAGCCCATGTGTGGCTTTCTGTTGGGCACCAGACAGTAGAAGCATAGAAGGTCAGTGGTGAAAATTTTGCCACCTAATTGGGCTTTCCCGGTCTCTGTGGAGTTAAGGAGAGCATGGATGACTCGGAATTTACGCGGGTGGAGGAGCGTGCTGCTAGATTCTCGTGGTCTGTAGGTGGTGCCGTCAATGGAGATAGACTCCAGAATGCTTGGCGGTCTACGTCGGGTGGTAGGTCACATAAGCCGGGAATGTCTCGTTCGGCTTCCTCCACCTCCTCAAAGCCCAGGTAGTGTTCAATGACACTTATGCACGTCTCTAAGTTGTCACCAAATGCCCGAAATTTGATCATCGGGCGAAAATATTTGGTGACAAGCTTTGGCAATGTGATAGAGGAAAGCACCTCACCTCCTTGAATGTCGGGTCACGGATCCAGAAGAAAAGGTGTTGCCACCATCCCTGACGCAGTAAGAACATCACATCATCTTTCAGGTCTGTCTGGGCTAGTGTGGGTGGAACATTGTTGTCACATCCTCAGCATCAGCTCAGTATATTTCACCATCTGAACATCATCTCTAAATTGCACTTGGTAAGGTGCATCTGGTGCGCGTCCTCCACGGGGTGGCTGCCTGCTAGAGCTGGCAGCAGTGTTCTACCTAGAGCGCTTGCCGGCTTGATTAGTGTGAATCAAATATCAATAAAAAATCAAACAAGAATTCCAACGGGGCTTCCGAGGGTTAGCCAAAAGCACAATAAATCAAGAATAATAACCCCGTCAACAACAATTATGCATAAACACAATGATATACTAAAAATAAATCCAAGTTTAACCAAAATAGTTAAAAAGTTGGAATTTTATCAAAGATTTGTTTTTGAATAAAATTCAAATCTTTAACGACACACGGTATAAACGAGGTCACAGACAAGAATAAAACATCACCACATTTTTCCAGGTTAGGGTTCTTCCCAAAAAATAGTTAGAATGTCCAAAATGGGGGAAGAACCCTAAATTCACAAATTGGGTATAACTAAGCCTAAATATTGGTGATTTTTCAACAATTGGGCTCATCAACAATCACATAACAATTTATGTAAAGAAATTTAAACCCCCAAAATTTTCGCACATGTAAGCAATTCAACCATAAATTAGCCAACTCAACTCAAAAACTAGGGATTCATCAAAATAGAGGCTTAGAAACAATCATAGAACATCAATATCAACGAATCAAGCTTCAACGACCAACGAGCCCCAGTCGCGAACCGCCACCTCCGACTGCTTCTCGCCGGCGAACTCACACCCTCTCCTTCCTCTCTTCATCATCAAGCAAGGTATTGTTCTTCTTCTCCACTTCTACTCCTTTAATGGGGGTTTTTGAAGCTTTTTACTCCGAAAATTCATATGCTCGAAAATTAGAGATTCGAATTTCTAGGCATAAATTGAGGCTTGATTTGTTGATATTGATGTTCTATAATTGTTTCTAAGCCTCTATTTTGATGAATCCCTAATTTTTTAGTTGAGTTGGCTAATTTGAAAATTTTGGGGATATAGATTTCTTTACATAAATTGCGGTTTTAATTCATGCTTGTACTGTTATGTGATTGTTGTTGAGCTCAATTGTTGAAAAATCCCCAATTTTTAGGCTTAATTATACCCAATTTAAGGATTTAGGGTTCTTCCCCCAATTTGGACATTCTAGCTATTTTTTTGGGAAGAACCCTAACCTGGAAAAATGTGTTGATGCTTTATTCTTTTCTGTGACCTCATTTATACCGTGTGTCATTAAAAATTTGGATTTTATTCAAAGAATTTTTCTTTGATAAAAGTCCAACTTTTTAACTATTTTGGTAAAACTTGGGTTTGTTTTTAGCATATCACGGTGTTTGTGCTTAATTGTTGTTGATGGGGTTATTATTCTTGATCAATTGTGCTTTTGCCTAACACTAGAAAGCCCCGTTGGAATTCTTGTTTGATTTTTGATTGACAAATGGTTCACACTAATCAAGTCGGCAAGCGCTCTAGGCAGAACACTGCTGCCAGCTCTAGCAGGCAGCTACCCCGTGGAGGACACGCACCAGATGCACCTTACCAAGTGCAATATAGAGATGATGTCCAGATGGTGAAATATACCGAGCTGATGCAGAAGGATGTGGGCACAATGGTCCACCCACACGAGCCCACACGAGCCCACACTAGCCCAGGCAGACATGAATGATGATGTGATGTTCTTGCTGCATCAGGGATGGTGGCAACATCTTTTCTTCGGGATCCGTGACCCCACATTCAAGGAGGTGACCTGTGAGGTGCTTTCCTCTATCACCTTGCCAAAGCTAGTCACCAAATATCTCCATCTGATGATCAAATTCTGGACATTTGGTGACAAATTAGAGATGTGCATAGGTGTCATTGAACACTACCAGGGCTTCAAGGAGGTGGAGGAAGCCGAACGGGATATTCCCGACTTATGTGACTTACCACTCGACATAGACCGCCAAGCATTCTGGGAGTCTATCTCCATTGGCGGCACCACCTACAGACCACGAGAATCTAGCAGCACCCTCCTCCACCCGCGCAAATTTCGAGTCATCCACGCTCTCCTTAACTCCACGGTGACCGAGAAGGCCGAAGTAGGTGGCAAGGTTTCCACCACCGACCTTCTATGCTTCTACTGTATGGTGCACAACAGAAAGCCACACATGGGCTCTATTATCGCAAACCTCTTTCACCGCCAATCCACGAACCACATCAAGGCCCTTTTCTCCGGTCCCTACATCACACACATTTTAGTAGGGATGGGATACAGAGATCACTTTAGAGGGATGCAGGGGATTCTCAAGTTTCTCTCGTTGATGAAGCTCCCGGAGACAAACACATGAATTAAAGCTAGAGTACGTGAGCAGGGAGCGAGGGTTGTCGAGAATGAGGCAATTCAGTTTATTGAGGGTGGCGAGGCAGGCACGCATGAGGAGGAGGAGGAGCACGATGACGACGAGCATCACATGGACCACGACGCTGGTCCCGGAACCTCTTATGTTCCTCCTTCCTATGGATATACTTACCCACACTCTTGGGAGGGCATTCAAAGGCACCAGCAGGATATTTAGCACAGATTATCTAAGGAGCAGCAAGTGTGGCAGCAGGAGCAGCGTGCGTGGCAATAGCAGCAGGACCACTACGACCAGATGAGGCATGACCAGCTGGAGTTTCAGAGACAAATGAGAGAGGACCAGCAGACGTACTTCACCCAGCTAGATGAGCGTGTTTCCTCTCTTGAGTCTAGCTGGAGTGCATTCCTTGCTGGGCACCAGCCCCCACCTCCATCAGAGCTGTAGATTAGCAAGATTAGTTGTCCTTCGTTAGCCACTGTATCTCTTTTCATTTTGTTGGATGACTATACTATATACTTTCACTCTGGATTTTGTTTGTTTGTGTATACTCTGTTTTGCAGCTCAAATTGTTGATTGTGATGATCCGCCACGGTTAACAATGACTCAGTTTAGTTCCGCACCGACCAACAGCCCTAGGGAAGTTTCCATGATTTTTTTCCTTTCACATGTTTGAACATGTTGACTTGAGTGGAGTTGAGCATGTGTGACCCTTCCACTTTTCCCCCTTGTGCATAGTGCATGTTTGGCCATCGAGGGTGATGCCAAAGTTTAAGTGTGAGGGAGTGAATTGGGCATTTGGGCAGTAATTGATACATGAGATTTAGAAAAAAAGGATCAAATAGGCCCTCGAACTTATATAAAAAGATCAAATAAGCCCTTATATAGGAGGCTCTGTCCGGTCGTCGCCATTTGGGGCAATTCCTGATGGATTTTTTTGATGAAATTTTTTGAGCATCTTATTCATTAAGTCTAATTTACGCATACCAAATTTCAGCTAACAATTCAATCCGAAAAGCATTCAAATGAATTATTGAAGATAACTGCGCTTTTAACTGCGCAGTTATCTTCAAGAATTCATTTGAATGCCTTAACGATTGAAGTTTTAGCTGGAATTTGGTATGAGTAAACTAGACTTAATGAATAAGATGCTCAAAAAACTTATCAAAAAATTTCACCAGAAACTATCCCAAATGGCGACGGCTGGACAAAACCTCCTATATAAGGACTTATTTGACCTTTTTATATAAGTTCGAGGGCCTATTTGAACCTTTTTCACGAGATTAATTTTGTTAGCATGCGCAGGTGATAGTTGTATATTCATAGGAAAGACATGTCAAATTTTTTGCAAAATTTTTCTTTAAACTGTGTCTTTGTGAGCTGGCTAGAGTCTTTACTTTGCTTTTGAATTTTCCTTGAGGTTTCTAGGCTTAAATTGCTTGCAATTTTAATCTAGTTGTTGACAGGATGAAGACATTAGTTGCTCGTTATTAAATTCATATTTTTTTCCCATCCCACCTGAATAAGTCCTTTAGAATAAGCCACTTTGAGCCTGACCGTTTTATTCTTGACTCATTAATTGAGCTCCATCGCCAAATGACCTGTTTCTTTCCCGTGAATGATTCTGATAAAGTCTTGGTGTTTAGGAATTTGTTAAGTTTAGGGAGTTTTGGTAGGAACCAATTTTGGCACGGTTCCTATGCCCCAAGTGGGGTAAGAGCAGTCACTTTTTAGGAATTTGATATTTTAAAGGATTGCATTGTAGGCATGGATTCACCCTTGTTCAAATGAACTTTAATTGCTAATTTTCCATAGTGAGACCGAGATTAGAATGAGGTAATGTCTAGTAAAAATCTGGAAAAAATGAAAACATTAATTGAAATAGCTAGACTTCTTACCTTGCGAAAAACAGAATGGGAGACCCGGTCAAAAAGCGTAAGTGTTTTACACAATAATATGAGACTCGAGGATCTTTCGAAAGAAATGGCGTTCTCATGCCAACATGACAAGGAAAGCTAAACTAAGAAAAATTGAACTCGGAGGCTTTTGCAAATTTAGCATTAGTCCTTCGCATACTTCAAGTATACGTCAAAGCACCAATGTGTGGCGCTGGTTTAGCTTAGTTGTACACCATAACTGCTCCTTGCATATGTTTAGATGATAATTCCTAGTTAGTGTCTTGCTGAACTCCTTGATCATAAGAATAGCCCCGAAATTCTTGAATACATTGAGTCATTGTCAGATTATTCCAATCTCTCGAAGAAAGGGACTATTTATCATTCACTACCTCCACAAGTTCTTCTGATCGGTAGCTAGTTTATTAGTGTATGCTACCATAACCTGGAGGATTTTGTGATTAATTTTGTCATTAACTTTAACCAGGGACGAAATTTCATTGTTTTTACGCTTTATTCTTCAAGACACTAGGTATATTTGTAAGTTCCTACTTTTTAATTGATGACAATTAGTTCTGTTCATCTCAATTCTATTGTTAATTCAATTATAAATTGTGAGCAGTTTTAATTAGGAATTTTGGATTGATGAGGGGGTGAATCATGATGTATGGCTAAATTCATGTTGGAATAACTGCATGAGTGTTATTGAATTTGTGTTTGAATGATTTAATTAATATCTTTTGTGACCTAGAATTGCAGCTAGGTTTATAATTGCTTATAGAATAAATTAAGAGAGATCTAATTTATTCTAGAACACCTTCACACACACTTAATCGTTCTCTAGGAGATTAGTAACGATTAAGGGACCGTACGCTCACTCGTTTTGGCAATAATTTTAGATACATGTCGCATAACAGATCAACCTGGTTCCCTAAATTATTGTACTCTACGCCGCGAGAGCTATGAGAGCATGTATGCTCACATTCATGCTCTTTATTCTTGGTTTTAATTTTAAAAACACAAAAAAAAAGCTTGTTAGGTTGAAAACGCAAAATGACAACTTAAGCAAAAATGAAAGCAAAAATCAGAGTGAGTTTGTAAGAATAACAAGAAAAATGTGTGTTGCTGAGACAAAAACCCGAAAGGGCACCTAGGCTTCATGAGTGGAGGCCTTACCTTGGAGGGGGATCTTTCCCCATTTGAAGCGGAGCTTGTTGGAATAAGAGAGGCATTTAACTGGTTAAAAGAACATAGATCGGATTCTGTTGACGTGGAGTCTAATGCATCTAGGGCGATTTCAGAAATTTTGAAAGGGTTAGGTTGCTCGTCGGCGGGGTTGATAGCTGAAGATATTCGAGACTTGGACATCTTTCACAAGTATACCATTTTCCCATGTGAGACGATGAGCGAACAACGTGGCTCATGCTCTTACTAAGGCTGCGTGTTCTATGTCTATTTGTCAGTGTTGGTTGACGGATCCTCCTTATTTTATTTTTCATGTATTAGACAATGATTATATTAATGCTATCTGAATTTATTTTTCTCAAAAAAAAAGAAAAAAAAAACATTAAGCCAGTATACACTACATATTGAAAAGATTACAATTTATATTTTATTACTGTTTTTTTTCTATAACTATTTTATACGTAGTATTATGACTATTAACTAATATATTAAAAAATAGCAAAACCGGTTTAATCCGATTCAAACCGGAAGAATCCTGTTTTTAACCGGAATTGGACTGGAAACCGGATTTACAATATTTAAAAACCGGAAACCGGACCAGATATCATTCGGGTGGGTTTGATTCAAGTTTTTCTGGTCTGGTCCGGTCCGATTGTCCGGGTTGAACCGTTTTGTGCAGATTTTAAAATATAAAATCTGCAACAATAACTTTCTCCCTTCAATCTTTCTCTTCTAAAGCCTATTTAATTATTGATGCCCAACAAATTGCAACACAGGTAAAAGCCCAAATTGCTACACCTTGAACTAAATATTTTAGGGAAATTACCCAAAATAGGAGCAAATGACACTTGGAATTCCAAAAATAGGACTAGTATGTTTTTCTTCCCGAAATAGGAGTTAAAACTGTCATGTATGAAAAATACTGCCATCATTGAAAAATGCTGTCATTAATTATAATGAATATTGTCATGTTAAATGCACTGTACTGCAATTATTTGGCAGTCATGGCTACAAGATGACAGTAAATACTGTCATGTTAGTCCCATTTCGGGAATAAAAACAAAGTAGTCATATTTTGGAATTTCAAACTTCATTTACTCCTAATATTGGGAAATCTCCTAATATTTTAATAATAGAATCCTGAGGTCTGAAAGCCTAAACCACCCTTTGAACATATAAAGCTATATGAGTGTGTCTTCACTATCTGCTATCCAATTTACTAATTTGCAAACATGTTCATAAAAAATTGCTCATTGAGTTTTCAAGAAAGAAGTTCTACTTCAGCCATGAGCCCATGACTACCTGCAAATATGTTTGGGTGAGAGAAATTTTAGACACACACTTCATCATGATATTTTTAAATGAAGTCTCAAAACCATAAAAAACAGTACTTCATGGAAAAATAATTTGGGCGGAATATCCAAGACAGAAATTGGAATACAAAGTAGAAAGATAAACTAGAGAATGCTTACATAAGATCAAGCAAATACGACATCCGACCGCAGAACATATTTCACACCCTTAGTGACATTCCGTGCTTCATGCAGCATACATTTCTCCCCATGAATGTGAAAGAGAGCCATTCCTTCAGAAGGAGGAACCTGCAAAAATTGAAAAGCCTCTTTAATTATTTGAAAAGCCTCCATTAGTTAGCTAACCAAATGAGGAAAATAAAGTAGCAAAAGAGATAGAAAAACACAATAGTACCTCAGCCACCAAAGAATTTCTGGGACCATAAAATACAGTTTCTCCTCCAACAAGGGGCTCTGTCAGAGAATCTAGAGCATTCCTATCAACCTTAGTTTTGGAATTGAAACCTCCCCCACTTAGATATACTAACAACGTATAGTGTGTAACTTGACCTTCACCAAGATCAACGCTTTCATCAATATGCCGTCCAAAACGTTGGCCCATCTTATACCTAGAAGGTTAAAATTATGACACCTAACTTATCCATATTATATATCGTTATAGATGAGACAAGTCAGACAACGAAGTTATGCCGTCTAGAACTCAAGATATCCAAGGTAGTTACCATAACACATAAGCACAAAACGATAATGTGAAATGAAACTAAACAATTTCTTATTTATATGTATGCAAACATATTAGACATGAATCACAGAAACTCAGAAAGTATCTCATCTTAACAATGGTTGAGTATTTTCAGTATATAAAAGTGATCTAGTTTGTTCGTTCTGGAATGTATAAAGATGACACAGCTCAGTATGCCTAAATATATAACCATAAGAGCGAAGTGCTGACTGGCAGGAAGTAGAATATCCACTCACCTGTAAAACCTAATGTTTGGGTTTAATCTCACAGCAACTTTGCCACGAATCTTAATGTCAGAAAAGAGCTTGTTAAGTCCTGATTCCCATAATGCATCAGCAAGATTGGGATCATTCACAGAGATACGATCATTATCTCTATAGGCTTCACCATTTCTTGGGCCAAGGCTCCCTTGGTGAACAAACCCAATCGACTCTGCTGCTTCAATGAATGCTCTCGTTTCAGCGGAAGTCAAGTAATTTTGCACCTTAATGCCAAAAGCAGAGGAAAACTTTCATGCAAGGAGTAAAGAAATAAAGGATGTATAAAGTGAGATGAACTATTTGTATTAAGAAAATACAGTAATACAGATTTCAATCACAATTTTCCACCATTTGCAATGGAGCCAAAGACTCACTATATTTTGACTTGAGAATATGATGAAATAAAGCAAAATGATTCATTAAACTCTCTTCACCTCTTTGTTATGAAGCAACCAGAGGCGGAACTACACTAGAGCTTGGGGGTGTTTGTGCCCATGCGGCTCTGCAGATTTCTTTTTATTATATATATAGAGAGAAATTTTCAGGTCCAGCACGTTTCAGTCCGAACGCCGTCCGAACACCGCTGTTTGGGGTGGTTCCCGGTGGAATTTTTTGACGATATTTTTTGAGCATGTTCCTTATCAAGTCTAGTTTATCCATATTAAATTTCAGCTTAAAATTCGATCGGGAAGGCAGTAAAATAATTTTTTGAAGTTAATTGCGTTTTTATATGTATAATTTGGCGCAGTTAACTTCAACAAATTGTTTGACTGCCTTTGCGATCGAATTTTAAGCTGAAATTTGGTATGGATAAACTAGACTTGATGAGGAACATGCTCAAAATATTTCATGAAAAAATTTCACCTGGAACCTCCCCAAACGGCGGTGTTCGGACGATGTTCGGACCGGGGGCTGCTCGACAGAAGAATGACTCTATACATATATATTATACAGGGTGGTCGACAATCAACTTTTGAATGTAAAAATAATTTAGAACCACAATCAAATTTGATATTGATCAATGTTAATGAGGCAGACTGAAAAGAAAATGTAAGAAAATCTTAACAAAACAAAGGGAGTAATATATTTATGAGCTCGACTACTAACGTTGAAGCTTGGAGGGTTGATTACATTGAGAGAGTTTCTTTGGAATTCGCCGGAATTATGCCAAAATAAGTGAATAACGCTGGCGACCACTAGGTCTAGCGACTGATCGAGAGCATTATTGTTTTGAGGTGACTGGCGTAGCAGCTTTGCTATTGTGTATTTTGGGCTATAGCCATGTACTGAGCTTGTTATTTTTTGTTGTTGTGGATAGTCAGGCTCAAGTTTGACAAAGAATTCATATGAATCGATTTTGTACACAGATTTCTAAAGGTAGTAAAGAGTCGAGCCTTCTGAGGTAATGTGCCCCTCCAAGATCATGAAGCTGGTTCCGACACTGGAAGCAACGGTCAATCAATGCAGTTTCTGACAGCAATTTTCATTATGGCTCATCCGGAAACAGTCGATATGTGCTTATTACAGGGGTAAGTCTGTGTACATCCGACTCCCCTTACCCACCATAGGTGGAAGCCTTTGCGGCACTGGGGTAAAGATGATAATAATGACAAAGCTCAATCATAGAATCAACGGGGAAGTACAACAGCTCAAGTCAGCAAGCTTTTCTTTCATAAAAAAGGTTTATTGAAATGCAAATAAGCACTTCTATGATTTTGAATAGAACACTTCCTACTCTTTTATTGCTTAAACATTACCCTTAAGGCTATGGTTAGCATGAACTAACCCTTGCTCAAAAGACGGTCAAGAATTCAAAAGTGAGATTTTAGCAGAATATTAAAATCATAGGAAGTTGTATTACAATTAGTTCAACGCAGACTCCAATCTCTCTCGCTTAAGAACATAAATGAAACAAAGATAACCATCCAAAACTAACCATACAGGAAGAAAAAGTTGAAGAGAATAAAAGTAGGCTTACAGTAAAGAGCTCGTTTCCTTTGAGACGAGTGACCTGAAGATTGGCCTTGGGTTTAATGGATGGCAATTCTGCTTTTGTCCTCTTCGTTTTCTCGTTTCTCCTTTCTCCCATTTTTCTCTTCATCCACAATCGTATGACATCTGATGTATCGATAGGAATTAGGAAGTCCTACCTCCTTAGCATTGGACAACAAAATGAGGCAAAAATCTAAAATAGGACTTTCTACGTTTTTATTCCAAAATAGGACCATATGAGTCCTATTGGAAACATACCTATTTTTGCATTCCATTCTTACTCTTCCATTAAATATGAATTAAAAATAGTCAAAAGTCATAGTTAAATGTTTAATTCATAATAAATTCGAAAAAAATTCAAAAATTCGTAGAAATATAATTAAAAAATTTATAAAATTTTTATAAAATAAAAAATTCAAAAATTTTTTTTTAAATAATTTTATTTTTAAAAAATTAATAAAGAATAGTAAAACTCCGTAAAAAATTTTTTTAAAAATATGGATGTCTTTCCCACCACCTGTACTACCTCCCAGCACCACCACCTCCGGCCGATGAAAAAAATGTCATTTTCCCAGAAAAATGTCATTTTTTTTCTGAAAATGTCAAAAAAGTGGCATATTTCTCTTTTCGAATGCCAACATTTTCATTTTTTTCTGCCATAAATATGGCATTCGTAATGAACTTGGCATTTTTTTTCCCCTGGTGACTGGAGGTGGTGGTGCTGAGGCGGCAGAGGTGGCGGCGATTTTTTTTTGAGTTTTTATTTTTTTTTACTTTTTTTAAATTTTTTTAATTTTTTGAAAAAAAATTAATTAAATTTTTAATATCGAAATGTTTTTCTTAATTTTTTAGTATTTTTTACGAATTTTTATTATTTTTTATTATTTTATTAGGAATTAAAACATTTTAATAGCTATAAGGGTATAATTGTCCAAGGTACACATAATTAGTCCTATGCAAACATAGTTTATTTTTTGGTCCTATTTGTGAAAAGTGAATGACTTTTAGTCCTATTTTGATAATTAACTCTAAAGTAATCGATATAAAAGTGGGTTGAGGTAAGAATAAAGTAAAAATGAATTAGAACCACATAAACTTTATCAAATTTTGTATAAAATCATGGACTTCCCGAAAAGGTAAAATGGGACAATCTCTAAAGAATAATCATCTGGACTGGACTGGACTGCTTTTTATTATTTTATTGGGCCTTTTATACAAGCCCATCTTATTTTTACATTACAGCCTTTTAGTATAAATACTGTATATGATTAAGGACAATTAACCTACTCAGTACGAATTCATTCATTCTTCTTCATTCTCTCTAAACTTCATCTTCCGCACAATTACTTCGCTCTGCTCTGTAAAACTCACATGGTATCAGATTAAGGACTTCGATCCTACTGATTCCTTTCGTTTCCGATTATTGATCTTACATCGATTTCTATAATCGATCCTATTGCTTCTCTTCTCAATAGATTTCTTCATCGATTACTTCTCAAAACCCTAGAATTCATGGCTTTACCGCTGAATCCACTCGAAGATCCTTCGTCGCCTTATCATCTTCATCCAAGCGACCATGCTGGTTTACACATCATCTACGAAACTCTCACAGGAGATAATTTTGCTGCTTGGAAGAAGTCTGTCTCCATGGCTATGGCGGTGAAGAACAAAATGGGCTTCCTCGACGGATCTATCAAACAACCAAACTCAGACGAAGGTCTTTACTCTACCTGGTATCGTATCAACGCTCTTCTCTTGTCCTGGTTAATATACTCAATTTCTCCAAGTCTTCGCAGTACCTTTCTATATTTTACTAATGCCAAGGAACTTTGGGATGAAGTTCAACTTAGGTATGGTAAAAGCGATGGACCTAGACTTTTTCAACTCGAAAAATCTCTAGGAAATCTTTCTCAAGGTTCTCGAAATATTACTGACTATTACAATTCCTTTAAAGAAATTTGGGATGAATATTCTGATTTTAGAGCTATTCCTTCTTGTACTTGTGGTCAGTGCACTTGCAATATATCTGAAACCTATCAAAAATTACTTCAAAAAGAGTCTATTCTAAAATTCCTTGTTGGTTTGAATGATTCTTATGCTCATTTAAGAAGTCAAATTCTTCTTAACACTGAAAAATCCACTCTCTCAAATATATACTCTATCTTCTTACAAGATGAATCTCAAAGATGTCTCCAGTCTTCTGTTTCTTCTACTACTCCTTTTTCAGATTCTTCTTCTTCTGAAAAATTCCACACTGATTCTACTGCTTTTCTTGTTAAAAATTTCAAGAAAAAGAATTTTGTTATTTGTACTCATTGTGGCTACCAAGGTCACTCTGCTGAAAAATGTTTTCAAATCATTGGCTATCCTGATAACTGGAAAGGTCCAAAAGGTCAAAGAGTTGCCCCTGGCTTCAAACCTCATTTTAACTCAAACAAAAATCCTCAAGCACACATGGTGACTAACTACACAAAATCCACACCTACATCAACAAATCCTACTTCTGCCACAACTGACTTCCTTGATCCTACTCTATATGACAAATTCCTTGAATTCATGCAAACTCAACCAAGAATGCTTCTGCAAATGTGGTCACTACTGCTCCTACTTCCTCTCCTACTTCTTCAAAAGATACTCAGTTTGTAGGTAACTATTTTGCTTTTAATACCTTTAAAAATTCTAAATGGATACTGGATACTGGAGCATCTGACCATATGGTTTATGATGCTTCATTATACACTACTCCAACAAAAACTATTTCTATTAATATACAATTGCCAACTGGAAATTTTATTTCTGCAACTAAAATTGGTGATATTAAATTGAATTCTTACCTTACACTTCAAAATGTCTTATGTGTTCCTAATTTCACTTATAATCTTATATCCATCTCCAGCTTAACTTCGCATGATAATATCTCTGTTTACTTCACTTCTAAACATGCTATATTGCAGGACCACCTTACTCACAAAATGATTGGCTTTGCTGATTTACAAAATGGATTATATCACTATCATTCTGACTCTTCCATACCACATACTCCTACTGTGCATTCTGCAAATACTCAACATTCTCAATATGATGCTTCTTCCACTACTCTCTGGCATTTTAGATTAGGACATTTCCCTATTAATAAACTTTCTTTTTTGTCTGAATGTAATACCTCAAACAATGAGAAACACTCTTTTCCTTGTCATATCTGTCATTTTGCTAAACAAAAAAGACTTCCTTTTCCTATTAGCAATTCTCATGCTTCTAATGCCTTTGATTTAATTCATATGGATGTTTGGGGTCCTTATAAGGTTACTTCTTATACAGGTTTTAGATATTTTCTTACTATTGTTGATGATTACACTAGATGCACTTGGGTATTTTTACTGAAAACCAAATCTGAAGTTAAATTTCATATGATAAATTTTTATAAATTCATTGAAACTCAATTTCAAAAGAAAATTAAAATCATTAGAACTGATAATGGCACTGAATTTATTTTTCCTGAATTTTATAATTCAAATGGTATTCTTCATCAATTATCTTGTGTTGAAACTCATCAACAAAATGGTAGAATTGAAAGAAAACATCAACATATTTTACAAATTGCTAGAGCTCTTTTATTTCAATCTTGTTTACCTATATCCTTCTGGTCTGATTGTATACTTACTGCTGTTCATATTATTAACAGACTGCCTACTTCAGTTCTTCAAAATAAATCTCCTTATGAACTTTTATATAACCATCCTCCTGAATATACTCATTTAAAGATCTTTGGATGCTTGGCTTTTGCTTCCACTATTTGTTCTAACAGAACAAAATTTGACTCTAGAGCACATAAATGTGTTTTCATTGGTTATTCTTTAGGATCTAAAGGATACAAATTATATGATTTAAACACTCATCAAACTTTCATTTCTAGGAATGTAAAGTTCTATGAGTTGATTTTCCCTTTCAGAAATAAAAATTATGAAACTGAAACTGATTTTAACCTCACAAATCTTCAAAATAATAAATCTGTTACTGACTACCTAAATACTATTTCTCAAACATATCCTCAAAGTTACCTGGACAATGAAATTGATAATGAGGTACATGTTTTTCAATCTAGCAATACTGATTCTGCTACTAATGAGTCTTCCAGTAACATTGAGACAGGTAATAATCACACTGATCACACATATGCTGCAAACAGTTCTCCAAGGAAATCTACCAGAGTAAGATCTGTTCCTATTCATTTAAAGGATTTTGAATATAACTTACCTACTTCTATCATTCCTAATGTTTCTGAACCTTCATGTAATTTTGTAAGATATCCTATACAAAATTATGTTTCTAACAACAAATTAAGTTCTTCTCATCATTGTTTTACTGCATCTCTTTCAAAACTTGTTGAACCAAAAACTTATAAACAAGCTGTCAAATTTGCTGAATGGAAAACTGCTATGAATAATGAGATAAAAGCTCTTGAAAATAATAATACTTGGATTCTTGTTGACCTCCCTAAAAATCAACATATTATTGGATGTAAATGGGTCTTTAAAACAAAACTTAAATCTGATGGTTCCCTTGACAGGTATAAAGCCAGATTAGTGGCTAAAGGTTATACTCAAGAAGAGGGTCTTGATTATTTTGATACTTTTTCTCCTGTGGTCAAATTAACCACTGTTAGAATCCTTTTAGCTATTGCTACTTCAAAAAATTGGTATTTACATCAACTAGATGTTAATAATGCTTTTTTACATGGAGATTTAAATGAAAACATCTATATGCAACCACCTCCTGGTTATTTAGATAAAGGTGATCATAGAGTTTGTAAACTTCTTAAAAGTTTATATGGTTTAAAACAAGCCTCTAGGCAATGGTATTTTAAACTTTCTGAATCTTTGAAATCTATTGGTTATAAACAGTCTCAAGCTGATTTTTCCCTTTTTACTAAAGCTGGTAATACTTCCTTTACTGTGATATTATTATATGTTGATGACCTTATTCTTGCAGGTAATGATATGAATGAGATCAATTCTGTCAAATCCTATTTACATAACAAATTCACCATTAAAGATCTTGGTAAGCTAAAATATATATTAGGAATAGAAATTGCCAGATCTGAAAATGGACTGGTTTTAAATCAAAGAAAATACACCCTTGATATTCTTTCTGATTTTGGATATCTT